ATCACGAACGCACTAGTCACTAATCTTCAGTTTCAGTCTTCGACATTTGCTGAAGGTTCTTAGGTGTGAGTTTTGTCTTCTTGAAGTATAGTTGTCGTGTAGGATTATGATACATGTTTCATTGATTACTGAACAGACTTAGTGATAATCGCTGGAACTGAATAGACAGATACATAATACTTTGATAGATAAAAGGCATAATCATCAAATCAATGAGAGAGGGGATTAACAGAGTCTTAGAGTTGGAATATTCTCTTCCAACTGTCCTCTAATCGATAAGAAGACAATTAAAACGTTGATGTACCTTAGACAACGATTCATTCTTTCCACAGAAAACGCTTTCATATTTTCTTACTAGATTAATCTTCCTCGATTCTTGTACTCTAGTAGTACCTTCATATTGAACACATAGAGTGTCCCACATGGATTTCGAGGTTTTGAGCTTTATCACAAAGTGATATACCTCGTAGGAAGAGACATGGCAATTATAGACATCACACGAGTGTCTAAAGCCATCCTCTTCTTGTCTTCATCACGCCATTGATTAGGGAGTTTTGGAATCTGTCATTTATGCATTGCAGCAGTCGTAGCAGTTGCAGGAATTGCTGGAGATATAGCATATGGAACATAAGGTCCATTTTCTATGTAGTATGGGATCTCGGGATCCACACCTTCCAAGAAGAGAGACATTTGATTCTTCCAGCGACTAAAGTTGTCTCTTATGAAACGGGGAGGTTTGGCAAGAGAGCCATTATCGTGAAAGTGAGTGCTAGTGTTTTGTAAAGCCATTTATAAAGGAATAAATTATCTAGAGAAGAAAATATAATAAAATGCCAATAAAAAACAAAACAACACAAGAAGCAAACGCTGCTCTGACACCACTTGTTGGTCCTAACTGGATCTACAAGAGTTTATAGATAACAGTTTGTAGGGGGAGATGAATACAGACACAAAAACTTTCAATTTTAAAAATTATATATTGATAAAGAAGGATCAATACAAAATTTACATATTGTTTGGGGAAAAGATAAGGTAAAGAAAACTATCTAAACAATCTAGAGATACATACAATTGCACTTAGCAAAGAGAAAAGATTTGTTGTAAGAAATAAAGTCTTGGAAATGTGTTCTTCACTTGTTCAAAGTGGTTCTTTCTCTTAGGAGAGAGAGAGTAGTGAGAGAAGTAACTTCTTGGGTAAGCTTCATAGAGAGATTGAAGTATATGATAAATGATAACTGAGTAGAGAACACTCAGCTATTTATACCCATTGCATTAAATACAATTCAGAAGGTACACAGTACGTGTCAAGCTTTTAGAGGAAACCTTGTCATTTGCTACAGTGAATAGTCCTTTTGTCTATTCATGAGCAGACATCTTTTCATAGAGTTGGTGAGCACTATAGAGTCAACTGAGTGGCTCCGTACAGTACTACACTCTATAAAATGTATGGTTTTGTCCTTAGTGTGTGGAAGGACAAGACAAAAACAAACGTGCATGGTAAGCTTCATTTTATCATTGAATGCTAGGATGACGCTGGAGGTCTCTTCAACATTTGATGAAACTTGTGCAGTCTTCACACATATGTTGAATAATGAACGCGCTAGTCTCTAATATTCAGTTTCTACCTTCGACATTGCTGAAAGTTCTTTGGTGTGAGTTTTGTCTTCTTGAAGTACAACAGTTACTAGAGATTTACAATACATGTTCAGTGATCACTGAACAGACTCAGTGATGATCGCTGAAACTGAATAAACAGAAACGCTATACTTTGATAGGTAAAAGGGATTACCATCAAGTCAATGAGAGAGGATCAATAAAGTGTCACGTGCACTTAATGCATGAAGATGGTATAAAAGGCAGTATGCCTCTCCCATGCAAAACACACTTCCTTGAAAGAATTTCTAAGTGTATTCTCAAGGCAATCGGCTGTCTTCTTCTACTCTTCTATTTATCTTGTTTGTGAAGAAAAACTTAGTTTTCTTCATTTCATTGCAAATACTCTTTGTGTTATTCTTGTAAGTTCTTCTCTGTGTAAGATTGTTTAGGCTAGGTTATCTTTTTCTACTTCAGCAATAATCTATATTGTATCTCTGTGTGTTAATTCTTGATATACATCAATAAGAATTAAAAAGTTGAAAAAAAAAGTCTATTTAATTGTATCCAACCCCCTTCTACAATTACTTTATGTCTATTATCATCCCATTCGGGACCTACAATGTGTTTTTAGTGTAATCTCTCGTCAACGATTGTAATTCTCTCACTGTAAGATTAGTAGCGTATTGAATCATATGGCCATCCTTTATTGTCAATTATTCTTTATATTATTTTGTGTTCTAATATCTATGATATTACTTGCTTCTGCTATATTTAGTAGATCTATTGAGTATCAAATCACTTGAGTAATCTGGGATCTAACAGTTTGTTTTTATTGCATTTGAGATTATCATCTAAGAATCGACTATACAATTTAGATGTTAGAATTATGGATCAAGTATATTCCATTTACAATTTTGAATATCCAATTTCTAATATAGAATAAGATGACGTTCTACGTATTTGTTATATTCAACTATTTGGACTTGATGATAACACAATATAACATCCGGTCAAACACTTACATTGTTTTAGGATTAAGTTTTATGTGATGTATTCGAAAATCACAAAGAGGATCCGATTTGTATTAAAATCCGATGGTTCATGATCCAAAACAGAGAAAGATCTAGTTTTTGTGTATCTAAAATCACTTTGTGATTTGGATACCCAATCATCATCTAAGGGGGTGTTTGGGATTGCTTATAAAAATAACTTATTGACTTATTCTGGTGTGGCACCGGTAATAAGCACTTTTGAGTGTTTGGATAAACAACTTATACCGGTGCCAAACCGGTAATAAGGTGTTTTTGAAAAAGTTAAATCATTTTAACTTATAATAAGTTGATAAACACTATTATAGGAAAAACATAAGTTGTTTCAAATAAGCAATCCCAAACACCCCCTAAATAGGATTTCTAATATCATATCTAAAAATCTTGTTTGGTAATCTATTATATAAAGCTTTCAATAAAATCAAGTATTAGTTGAAGTGAAGTTTGATCGACACCAAATTAGATTGGTGAGTCATCTAGGTGATAGAAATCATAAGATAGATAAGTCAAATAGTTTGACAAATATCACCTGGCTAGCCAGTTTGAAATGAAAGACTTTTTTTTATTAACCTGGATATCCAACCCGCTATGCGAGCTGACTAATCATAGGGCGACCACCTGCTTTACAGATAGCCCGGAGTCACCGCTTTTGAACCTCCGTGGTCACAAGGGGATTTTTTTCCCCTCTTTGGATTTGAACCTGGGACCTTCTGGTACTTTTGACCTTTGAAGCCAAGCTCAAACCAATCAGGCACTACCCTTGTGGTTATTGAAATGAAAGACTTAGGGACCAAGTTTCACTTACAACTTTTACCATTTCTAGCCCTACTGTAGGAACATGTCCTGCATGTTAGGAAAAGTAAGTACAAAAAAATATGTTTATTTTACTCTACTTATAATATTGTTCACTTTGCACACGAAGGGATAAGTTGGAGTAACAAATATCTACATCATATTAATGCAGTACAACGATACATGGGTCAACAAATCATATGAAGACACACATTAAAGTTGTGTTGTTGTATTAAATGCTTGGACTGTCATAAATTGCAGCCTTTGGACCATATGCAACTTTGTGTGTTTTGAAGAATTTCTATGTGCAAATTCTTACAAGTCTATGTCTTAACCCTCTGAAGTTCTGTCTTAGTTCTTCAATTTCTATTGGTTTAAGATATTCCTTACGGGAGTTGGTTACCATATTTCTTAACAAATTTGTCATCAATTCAGATTACATAGGATAATTACTTTCTTCCTAGTTTCCATAACAATATGTAATTATGTGTTTTCATAACGTATATAACTAAAATTAAAAATTTGATATGTTTGTATTCAATATACAAATCATTGACTCTTTAAAGTAACAACAATATGCCTACCCTACCCTAATTACTCCAAACCCCAAATATACTAAAAGTTATGAAAACCACATAGTGATATAGTGGTGGAGTTTGCTTACACATGACTTGGAAGTTGACCTCTAGTGGCTAATGCCTAGACATTCTCTTTGTTGCATTCAATTTTCTTGTGATCTACCAACCAACTCTTTCAACACCACAAACTTCTTTTCCTCCATATTTATTCCCTTGCACCAACTCATCCCAAATCAAATACATAATTGAAAAATATAATATCTTCAAAATTATAAATTTTGAATTATTTTTGGAAATGGATTAAATGAAATTTAAAAATTAACAAATAAATCTAATTGACTCAAATAGAGGCAAGAAAAAAAAAAGTAATGAATTCATGTGAACCTTTACGCTTGTCATGACATTAGTCTGTCACAAGTTTCTTATTCATATCTGACGATTCCTGTAATTCCAGATGGACTGAAAGTTACGTTGTTTTGAAATTAAGGGGTATTTTGGTCATTTATCATTTATTTATTCAAATTCCAAAACTACATTCTACCAACCAAACATACAGATTCTAAAGCATTTAACAAATCCATTCCAATTCATTCTAACCAAACAAACACGTGTTCAAATTCCATTATAATTCTTTAAAAGTCAAATTCAGTTGACAGATTCCATTCTACGAACCAACCGTCCCTAAACTTTTTTTTCCAGGCATCCCTAATTCCTACATATGCTCCATATCAAAAACTGAATGCCACAACTTCAACCCTTATTTTCTTTCAAAAAACCTTAAAATGACCTCATTTTAGGTTTTTATTTTTCAAAATTAAAAATGCTAAACTTTGTTTCCAGTTACCGGTTGTAAGTTGGAACCAGTCCAGTTTTTGGTTCGATCATTTAATATTTCCCGGTTTGGATGGGTCCACTTCGACCATCCCCAGATACAATGATCCAGTTCCTATAAAAACTAAAGCATCCAACGAAACTCTCCGTGCACTCCCAATGGCTCACACAAATTGCCCCCAGATTAACTACGAAAATGCCACTGAAAGCCACCAACAAGACTTGCTAGTTCCCACAAACCTAATTGTGGAAAACTTCGAAAAAAAGGGTCATTCATGGTAAATACTGATATTTTAAAGCTTATTGCAAGTTTAGCTTCCGTTCAGCTAGTTTCTCTTATGTTATCCGCAGGTTTGCCGTATCTCAACTTCCATCGGATCTATCGGTTAAAGTTGACGACATCACATTTTATGTTCACCAGGTAATATTAAGGAAACATATGCTTTGAATACGACTTGCTTTAACTTTTCACTTCACTGATCGATGTTTTATGAGTAGTTTCCGCTGCTTTCAAGATGCGGTTATTTGGGGCAGATTGACCTCCGGACTTCAATCACGAAAGATGGTTACGAGCTAAAATTGCAGAACTTCCCCGGAGGAGCCGAAACGTTTGAAACCGTGCTCAAATTTTGCTATGGTTTTCCGGTATCGTTAACCACCAAAAACGCAGCTCCTTTACGATGTGCAGCGGAGTTTCTAGACATGACCGAAGAAGTAGAAGACGGGAACCTTATATCTAAAACCGAATCTTTCCTCACTTTGGTTGTTTTTTCTTCATGGAAGGACTCAATTACGGTTCTGAAATCCTGTGAAACTCTCTCCCCGTGGGCCGAAAACCTCCAGATCGTAAGAAAATGTTCTGATTCCATCGCTCGCGCTTCTGAAATCGAACAAAACCGGTGGAAATACGACGTTTCCACTCTCAGAATCGATCATTTTATGAGGATTCTAGAAGCAATGATGCTGAAAGGATTGGGATCAGATTTCTTGGGTTCTTGCATCATGATATATGCAGAAAAATGGTTGATACAAACTGATGGAGAGATTGAAGGATTGAAACGATATCAGAATGGAAAAAAGGAGCAGAAATGGCGTATTCAGCAGGGTCGGAAGCAAGAAACAGGATTTGAACCGTATCACGATCAACGAACGATTATAGAGAGGTTGGTGAGCATATTGCCTCATGAGAAAGAAAGTATTTCCTGCAAGTTTCTGTTGTGGATGTTGAAGATGGCAATGGTGTATGCAGTGTCACCGGCTTTAGTTTCCGAGCTCGAGAAAAGAGTCGGGATGGTTATGGAAGATGCGAGTGTTTACGATCTGCTGATACCTAGTTATACCGGCGGAGAGGAAGGAAACCAAATCAAGTGAGCTTTCAAACATTATGTTTCTATCTTTCAATTTCATAAGATGCAACAAAATTGCTTTTTTGTGATGTCTCATGGTCTTTATGGGTCTTAATAGATTACACTACAACAACCATATAAGACATCTAGAATTTCTAAACGATGATTTTTTTATATAAATTACGTTTATGGATCAATCTATAAATCGTCGTATCTAAAAGTGTTATAATAGGTTTATAAGACATTTTAACAAATATTTGATGACACTTTAAAAAATGTGTCGTATTAACTATTATATCTATTTTATTGGACAACTTTTCAAATAGTGTCGTATTAAATAACTAATACGACATTTAGTCTTAAAAGTGTCTTAAATAACTTGTTGAAACGTCTTATAAACCTATTGTAACGTTTTTACATAGGACATTTTGGTTGGGTACTATAAACTTAAGTACTATCAAGTATTTTGTTATAGAGGCTTTGAAATTTTAACCATGCTATAAAATCAATTTTGTTGTAGTGGTCTTTGATGAAGTTTTAACTTTAAAGAATAAAAAACCCGATTTTTTATTATAATATGTAGTTAGGACGAAGTTAAACTACCTAAACAAGTTTTATCGATGAAATTGGAGAACCTAATACAACAAAAGAAGTAAATTACCCTATTAACCATTTTTATAGGTTATTTAAAAAAAAAATGTCGTTGTGCTAGCATATTATTTTTTCATATTTATGACACTTTTTAAAAGTGTCAAAATGGCTAACATGATAATTTGTTTTTTGTGTCATGTTTAAGTTTCACAAGTCTTTCAGGTATCCTTAATTTTGTTATAACAATTTATAGTGCTTTTAGATATCACGATGTAGATAGATATATATTGTATAGTACTATATTAGGATGCATCCTAAAGTATTTATATTTATACTATCTTATAAATCAGATTTGATAAAAGTCTTAAAAACAATTTTAAATGCATAAGGTACTGCTTCTTTATGTATAAAGTCTTAAAAATTTTAATTACAAGTCATTTATGCATATCGTACGACTCAACAATGTTTCACCTTTTACAACTCATATTTTTAAGTTTTATCTTTCCCATATTTAGTTTTGGTTTCCAATAAACATTGAAAATTTAAACCATCTACCCCCTTTCAAATTTTGACACTTTATGTTCCCAAGATTTTCATCTTACCATCAAAAACTCTCTTACCATTTCAAATGTAAACCTTAGATTTTCATAATCCACGATTGATTTTTCCCAATCACCTCCATTCCCCTAGCTACATTCTTCCTCGCCTCCGTCGTTCCTCACCGTCTCTCCTCCGGTCACACCGACACCCTTACATATAAAGGTCTTCATTTGTCTTTCCATTGGCTTCCATTGTTGTATAAAGGTCTTCCTTTGATTTTTCATTTTAATATTAGGGTTTAAGCTAGCTGCTTATTTTAAAGGTTAGCATTTCGGAGCTCTGGATCTACATTTATAGTATTTGTACACATTAACAACCCCATTGGCTTTTAAGGGTTTCTTTGATTCAATATATTTGAGATGGTTGTGATTCGGGTCGAGTATCTTGCTCCACCGCTCCAGTCCTTGGCAAATGCTTGTATCTTGTTCCACCGCTCAAGTCATTCGGGTTGCGATTAAGGGTTTATGAATAATTGTAGAACCTACTAACACCAACATTTTGGATGGATGTATATTTGAATCTAAATTAGATACAAATGTAGTAGGCTTCGTTACATCTTAAGGAATTTGATATCTCAAAATTGAATAATTTTAATGAGCTTTTCACATCCCGCTGCATTGCGCGGGTAGACAACTAGTTATTACAACATATATCGAGTATAAAAGGTCCAAGTCTAGTGACTCTCACAGGCCCCCTCCAACACAGGTTAGATGGGCACAAAATTTCATAAATGTCGAGTCTCGGGCACAAAATGTTCCAGATGGTAGACCATGGCTCCGATACTATAATGAAGTGTCAAATCACGGGCATAGATGCCTTAGATGATAGAACTTGGCTCTTATACCATATGAGAATATATAGAACCTAATTCATGTTACTTCCCAAAAGATTCGTTGAGGACGGGAGGGGCTTCCAACATATCTATTTACGAAAATCAAAGTCTAGCCGATACATAATTCTAACGGTTATAAAATACGTTTTTGTAATATTTTTTTATATTACTTGGCGTACATATTGATAAGATGTGGTGCAGATCGACCGGAGAGCAGACTTTATTCAACGTGGATGTCGTGCAAAGGATTTTGGAATATTATTTGATGCATGAACAACAACAACCAACACAAAATCATGGGAAATCAAGCATTAGTAAGCTTTTAGATAATTACCTTGCCGAAATAGCTGGCGACCCCAACCTTTCAGTCACAAAGTTTCAAGTGATCGCCGAGTCCTTACCAGATAATGCCCGGCCGTGTGATGATGGACTCTACCGAGCAATCGATATATATCTGAAGGTGATCGGTTCTTTGATTTTCAAGGATACACTCTGATCCATCTTTTGCGTTTTATTATTTTTGTGAGATGTGAAACTTGTGATAATACGTACAACCCCATTAAATTACTCTTAAAAAATGTACTTACTTAAAAGAGAAAGGAGGTTCCAACATAGATAGAGAAGATGCGGGACTCTAACGATTAGATTATTTTATAGGACTTGAAAGTTTACAAGACGAAACAATTATGTATCCTAATTAAAAGTGTCACAGTAAGTTTGTAAGACGTTTTTGGACACCTTAACAAGTTTTTAAAACATTTTAAAAATAAAATATCATATAAGTTTTTATATAGGATACTTTGGAAAAATGTTCTATAAACATATCTTTTTATAGAATAATTGTTTTTTGAGAAATTCTTTCGAATAATGTCATATTAAAAAAATAATAGGACGTTTTATTTTAAAAGTGACTTAAAAACTTGTTAATATACAAAAAAAAAAAAAAAAACTATCTACACATTTATTGTAGCACTTTTACATTAATAAAATGTCCCAAAGGATTGTAAACTTTTGCCTAATAAAAAACTTGAGTCATGTTTCGGTCCTCTTCCCCATTACTTAGAAAAAGTGAGCCTGGATGCATAATTATTTAATAATATAAACTTAAATTTTATAAAATATTTAAATATTTTAAAAATCTTATAATTGGAATCACGAAACCGTATTTTATTTTTGAAATTACAGGCACATCCAGCGCTGTCGGAACATGAGAGAAGAAGATTATGCAGATCCATGGATTGTCAGAAGCTTTCAATTGATGCATGCACACATGCTGCTCAAAATGATCGCCTACCGCTAAGAACAGTCATGCAGGTATCTTTCACATCAAAATCTTCAGCCTTCAATTTTTACTGACCATCACTAGGGGTGTAAATGATGTGAGTCGAGCTTGAGTATTATTATACTCGATTTGAACTTGAAACCCAATTTCCAAACTCGAACTCGACTCGAAAACTCGCGATTAGTAAAAATCAAAGCTCGACTCGAACTCAATAACTATTTCTCAAGCTCGAACTCGAATCAAACTCGAACTAAGCTCGAAACAAGCTCGAACTACAACTCAAATCAAACTTAAATTCAAACTCAAACTCGAATCAAGCTCGAACCAAGCTCACCATTGAAATTTATGATATTTTAGTGTTTTTTTCTTATAAATTTTAAAACGTAAAGGTATTCTCTTAGTTTTTATAAAACTAAAGAGATCAATTTCAAACTTCATCATAAAATAGACAAAGTTAGAAATTTCATTCATCTCCCTCTGTATGTCCCTTACTTTGATCAATCTTCAAGAACAATGACGAATACAATTAACTCTAAAATTCAATCTTCATGTAAGAACACTTGAGAGAAAAAGTCAACTTGGTCAATGTAGATTTATTCCTCTCAATTATACATAATATTAAAATTAAGCTCTCACTTTCTTAAATCCCTTACAAGACCTATTTATAGATCAAACTAAAAACATAAGAGTCAAAGTCAACACATGACTTACAAAGACAAACTCTCTACAAATACAAATATAAACTTTCAAGACGAATACAATTAACTCTAAAATTCAATTCTAACATTTTTCCCTTTTGGATTCAGGCTTGAAAGAATTTGTACTCTTTGAATCCTTTTTTTAAAACTTTGACGCTTTAAACACTTTATGACTTCTTTAAAATCTTCAAGTTAAACTTCTAACATTCTCCACTTTATGTTCTTCAGAGAATCTTCCTTTGAGAAAATCTTCCAAACATTATCCCCCTCGAATGTATAATAAAAACAATCTTCAGAAACAGTCTTCAAGATATTTTCATCAAAGAACTTCTTCATATATCATTCACTAACATTCTCCCCATTGAGAAATCTCTTTCAGTAAACTCTTGTTAAAATGAGATCTTCACATTCAACTCCCCCTCAATATTGTAGTACAAAAATAATCAGCAGTCATCAATCATCTTCATTCACATTCCTTGAGTCTTTTGTAGATTACCAGTCTTCAGAATTGATTATTTTATTCATTATATAATACTCCCTCTTATGATGAAATGAGAATCATTTGCATCATACATCCGAATGAATGAATCATCAAGGTATGCCGTCAATTCATAAAATTGTAAGCAGATCTTTTCAAATTCACTTCTATAATCTTTTCAGATTATGAAGATGGGAAAATAACCAATTTCAACTTATGAAATTGTTAACAATCTTATAAAAGATTGACCTGTGAATATAATAAATATATTTCGTACAACGAATGTACTTCATATATGAGACTTTTTAAGGTTCATCACATCAGGACTTCCATTCAATCATTTATATCTTATAAAAAAAATAATTCTATGAATGTTATAGCAACATAACAAATAAATTGCAAAATTTGTGTAGTGTAGAAAGATAAGGCAACATATGCTTCGATTTAGGCTCAAAAAGATAAACCATGTGGACTACACAAATTTATCAGACTCAATTCGTGATCAAAAAGACTTGAAGGGGGGGGACATATATCCTTCTTTTTTAATATCAAATTTCTTTGAATGAGAAATTTATAGAATATGAGTTGCGTGCCACAAGTGTTATTGAAACACTTATCTTTTAAGAGATAAATGAGTAGCTGGTGGGGTTGTGATAAGAATTGGCCTGTGTTTTACCTTTTTCAATATTAGTCTCCAAAGAATCGAGAACTAATAGATTTTGTGGGTTGCCCGGATTATAGAGGTTAGAACAGGATTCTTTTAATCTTTTAATCATGACACAACTCTCATCAATTCTTTTGGCTCACAACAACTACCCCTCTCATATTTATTTTAAGCTCTGTACACAAACCCATTTTATGTTTAAGCTCACTCAAGTATGGATTTTCTCATAGGTAGGTCTGTTGGTTCTGACATTCCATTGAGGTATTTCTGTGAAGCACTTAGTCCCTCCTAAATTTAACACTGTAAGCTCAATTGATCACAAACAGTTGATCCAAATATTATCGCATATAAGCTTAAATGATCTGATAAAAATTGATAAAAAAATATAGCGATTAAGCACAATCAACAAGGAGTGATGTTCAATTCAGGTTATTCAGAATAAGTGGGAGAAATGAATGAAGATCTGTAAGTACAAGTTTACAGATTCAGATAGTCAAAAAATAATGACATCTGTATCAATTAAAGTAAAAAAAATTCAGAAAAAATAACTTTGAATACAAACGAGTGTATTATCACCGAAAATGATTTTCATTTAAGAGACATGATAATAACAATTTGAAGAATAGCTGAAACATGTATTGAAATTATGTATGATGAGAAATTACGCAAGTAAAATCTCAAGAAATACTTGCTCAGAGAAAATACTCGTTTCAGAAATCAATCCAGATTCAAAAACTTTTCAACAACTCCCCCTAGAAAATAGTTAAGTAATTTTACATTTTAGCTCAAAAACCAAAAGTGAAATCATTTTGGCTCGGGTCCTGAACTGATTTGTTCAGAAGCCATATTTCGTTTCAGCTCGGGTCCTGAACCGTTTTGTTAAGAAACCATATCAAATAGATTACACACTCACCCTGCATTAGTGTATCATAAGAATGATCTTCTTATCAGCATAATAATGACACACCTGCAAAACAGTTCAAGTAGATTTTGGCACCCAGACAAACTTGGGTCCTACTTTGTTAGTATCAGGTTAGAGAATGTTATAACTACCAAACCATCTGTTTCTATTAGATGTATTCTTATTAGCACTTTTAACAGGTTGATCAAATAAACAATAAGATCCATACTAGTTATTAGCATACTTGTTGTATCCATTCCAGCTGTTCTAATAATTTGTTGTCCTCATATCATCTGTTGTACCTTTTTCTATTAACAAAATCATTAGTTCTGGATGTTGAGCACATGATTATTCTCTTGCTAAGATTGATTAGATCATGAGTGGATCTCACAATGCAAGGAAGAATAGGGTTAGTAACAACAAATTTATGAGACATAGCAGAATCAGCTTTATTGACTCAAACATTTTTAGCTTTTGAAAGATAATTGGGTGATCCAATGACATACCCTTGATAATATTGATTTGAAGAACGAGACTTGTTCTTAGAAACAGTTGATTTAGGGCTGCTTGAATAACTGTTAGATTTAACGTTGGAACAATCATAAAAGCTAGTTTTACACTGAGATTGAAAACTAGTTGAGCTTTTAGCACTTGAAAAGTCTTTTACTTTCTTGAGTAACTGGACTCTCTCTTCAGCAACTAAATCGTATTTCTTTTTAAGTTCAGTTCTCATGTTCAATTCAGTAACAAGTTCTGTGTCTAGATCAGACAATTTCTTTGAAAATTCCAGAAACTTACTTTCTAATTCCTTCTTCAACTTTTCATACACTTTCCTTTCTTTCTCAAATTCCTTTCTTTCTTCATCTGAACTTCCCTTTTCATTTTCAAAAGCAATGTCAAACCATTTATTTTTCTCTATAAGTTCTTTGGCGATTGTAGCATTTTTCTTGGCAGTGTTTTTCTTTTCAAGAGCAAACAGTTTGTTCTCTTCATCTAATGCTTTCTTCTCATGTTCAGCACTATCAAGCAATTCCAAATTCTTGCTCAGACATTCTTCTTTAAGCTCTTCCTTTTCTTTATCAACCTTGGCTCGTTCCAAGATGATAAGTTGTTCAAAATCAGAAATTTGCTTTAAAAGCATTTTGGCATTCAGCTCCAAAGAGTTAATCTTGTTTTCAAAAGATTTTCCTTCAGTATCAAATCTTTTCTCAACTTCTATCATCAGTTTCTTCTCTTTCTCCAAAACTTTCTGTTCAGCAACTAAACTCTTCTCAGCTTCTAAAACCTTATCTTTCTCTTTTTCCAGTAATTTCCTTTCATTAACAACTTTCTTCTCAGCTTCATGTAATTTCTCATTAGCTCTTCAAACTTTTTATTCTTCTTTTCTGGAGAGTTCTTTTCAACATTCAGTTCATTTTAAACTTCTTGGAGTTTATTAAACAAATCTTTATTTGCTTTGCTCCAAATTTTCAAATCTTCATCTGACTCTATTCTTGCAGAATCCAAAGTTTTCTCAAGATTTTTAATCCTATACATGAAATCATTTTCAATACATTCTCTAGTTTCTTTATGCTCCCGTTGTAAATCTTTAATAAATTCCTTATTAGCATGATTTTCTGAAAACATTTTCACATATTTGTCTTTATAATTCTGCTAACTTTTCTCTAATTCACAAACATTTTCATCAATCAATTCCCTCTTCTCAGCTTCATGTAGTTTCTCAGTTAGTTCCTCAATCTGTTTGTTTAGTTTTAAACTACTTTTATGTGAATCAGAAGCATTTTGAATGAATCCATCCAATTGTTCTTTTAAAAGCTTCTTCTCTTCCTCATTTCTTTCATTACAATCTGATAAACGTATAACCCAAGATATGATATTCTTATTTTCTAGACTCAGTTTATCATACTTCTCTTTTAGTTCCCTATATTCTTTCTCATAAAATGCTGCCATTTAAAAATTAAAAGATTGAACAAAAAGAATCTATGTAGTAATCGAAATCGATCAAAGAAATCACTTTCAAAAAAAATATCTCACAAAAATATTCAACTCAGATAAAAGTCAGACTTCACAAAATTTCTTAGAAAATCAAAATTAAAACATTTCAAGAACTGCTCAAATCACGGGCGATTTGGTGAAATCCAGGCAAAAGATGATATGAAATCCAGACAAAAAATGATCAAAATGATGGAATATGGAATCCGGACAATGTGATAAGCAAGGAAATCAAATATGGATAAAGGTAACCAAGAAATGTAGAATCCGGACAAAAAGGTGATCAAGGGAAAGTGAAAATTGATTTAGACTTGGAATACAGACAAGATAGAGGTCAAAATGGCTAAGTCTTGACAGAAGAAGAAACCGGATAGGGTTATGGCCGAGGAAGAAGGGAATCCGAACGTAACGGTGACCGGATATTTGCTTGCAAAATGGCTTAAGTCTTGGCCGAGGATGGTCTAATCCGAACAGGGTGTGTCCGAGGAAGGATGAAAGTGGCTAAGACTGTGTCTGGGAAAGACTGAAATCGGTCAAGCCTGTGACCTAGATAAACCTTATACGGACAAGGTTGTTACCAAGGAATGAATTGAATCCGGCTAAAGTGATGCGAGAAAAAGAGTAACTCGGCTAAGGCTATGACCGTATAAGATGATCTCCGGCTAAAGGGGTGTCCGAGGAAGCCAAATCCGGGTAACCTGTATGCGATCAAGACTTGAACTCTGGATGGCTTGTTGACCGAGGTTGCCAAATCCGGACAAGGCAACTTCCGGGGAATGAAATTAATTCGACTAAGTCTTGAATCCGGACAAAGGATGTTCGGATGTTGCTTGAAATCGACTATCTTTATGTCCAATAATGGCTTAGAAAAATGGTTAAGTGACTGCAAATGGAAGCAATCCGGCTAAAGAGACTTGAAATATGACTAAGTCATTAATCCGGGTAAAACAGAAACAGATTAAAACTCACCAAAAACACAAAAATTACAACTTTTTCACCAAAAAATGATCAAAATTCAGATTTTTAAGATTTTATTCAAGAATACAAAAATTTTAAAACTTCACAAATCTCATCAGATCTTTAAAACGGATGATCAAATCACAAAAACTTGTGAATAACAAAGATTCACGATCCAAATACGCACACAACGATGATCTTTTTAACATCAAATCGTAAAAAAAATGAAAGATTTGAGTAGAAAAATATGAAAAACTTGAAGAACACTTCAAGAACACATATGAAAATGAAGAACAGAATGTGATTTTCCAGAAATTTTCAACTTTAGATGAAATTTTCAATACGATCTCACTGCAAACTTGCTCTGATACCAATTGTATGTCCCTTACTTTGATCAATCTTCAAGAACAATAAGAACATGACAATCTTTATGTAAGAACACTTGAGAGAAAAAGTCAACTTGGTCAATGTAGGTTTATTTCTTTGAATTATACGTAATATTACAATTAAGCTCCCACTTTCTAAAATCCCTTACAAGACCTATTTATAGGTCTAACTAAAAACATAAGAGTCAAAGTCAAACTCTCTACAATTAACTCTAAAATTCAATCCTAACACCCTATCTTTTTGTAACATCTTTTCTTCTTTTCTTTAAAATCTCTCCTCCTATGTGGGACAATCTCACTAACCTTTTTTACATTTTTTCTTTGTCCTTTTTATTGTGATTCTAATAAAAAATAATTCATTAATTTTTATAATAAAAAAATGTCTAATTTGTTTAAATATCTAAAAATACAAGATATTTTTATTATGTTTTATAAATTTTATCATAAAAATTGATTATATTTTAAAACTAGTTATATATAAAATAATCAAATATCCCACAAGCTTTTCGAGTTGAGTATTGGGTAGCTTGACTCGACTCATTAATATGTCGAGTCGAGCTCGAGTTTGAGTTGAGCCTATTCGAATCGAGTGTTGAACGAACTTTGATTGAGTCGATCTCGAGTAGCTCGCGAGTTGTCTCGTATCATTTACACCCCTAACCATCAGTAATATAAATTGAATATATATATATATGTTCAAACGAGAACAACTTGATTTTATGAGAACGCGAGAATAGTCTTTTACTATAAACAATCACATGTGATACTATTATTTCAATATATATGATACACATGTGATACTATATCATATATGTGGACGACTTTTGACGCAATCTAGGTTGTAGGTCAAGACATCCTTACACCACTAAGGCCCCTCACATGTACTATCACATGTGATAAATGTGTTATTAATGTGATACTATAATCCATCAAGACCATCACATGTGATATTAAATCATAAACGCAGACGACCTTTGGTGCGACCTAAGTCGCAAGGCACGACATCCATACACCACCAATTCCTCTCAAGTGTATTATCACATGTGATAAGAATGTTTTAGCATTTTCGTAAAATGAAGGTGTTCTCGTTTGAACATTCACCTCTCTCTCTCTCTCTATATATATATATATATAATGTAAACATGAATTAAATAAATTTAAAATAAATAAAAATTCGATGTCTTAATTAATTGATGGAAAAAAAAGTAAGATTTTAAGACCAGTGATTCTTATCTGTAACTTTTATATATGGTTTCATTTATCCCAATCTTTATCTAGAACAAGTTTTTAAGAGAATAATTATGAGTTTCTTTCAAAGAGAAATAATTATGAGCATCACTTCAACCGAAAAATAATACTTAAAAGTGTCATTACCGGCATAAACAATCAAGTGCTTATCGGGTAAGAGTAATTGCCATTACTTATGTTATTGGGTAAGATTTTGGTCATTAAAATAACATAGGATAAACAAATGTTATTTTTAATAATCGATAATTTTATACAATAAATGAGGATGATAATACTTACCCGATAAATATCGAGATTAGAATCACCATCCTAACTTAAAAATAGACCCCGATATAATATAAAATAAATACCAAGTATAAAAACCACGATTTCAGTAAAAATAATATATAATGAGTTTTCTTGCAACACTATCCAAGTGGTTTTTTTCTTTTCTATATTTGCCAAAACTATTACAAAACAACCAAAGTAATTTGTACCTTTTATATGCACTAATACTATCAATAGAAAACAACCTGTTTTCAATTAGATGCAACTGTATAGACCTCTGTAAGAAATTCTTGTATATAGGGTACAATTATCGGTCAGTAAATGAACACGGTAAAAAGTGTTGGTAAAAACCATCCTGTTTTACGAGATAAGTATATATCTCACTGCAACAAAATTCATTTTATAGGACGTCAAAAATGAAAAAGCGTACCGAAAGAATACTTTATAGGACATAAGTTTATAGGACCAAACCCAAAAAGTGTCATATCCAAAAGCGTTACAGTAAGTTTCAAGTTTTTTACAATGTTTTTAAAATAAATTATTTTATTAGCTATTTTATGAACACTTTGAGAAATGTCCTATAAACAAATCTTTTTATATGAAACTTTTGTTTATATGACATTTTTTCAAATCGTGTCGTATAAAAGAGTTAATACGACACTGTCTTTTAAAAGTGTCTTAATAAATTTGTTAAAACACCTAATTGCGTCTTATAAACTTATTGTAACGCTTTTAGATATGACGCTTCTTAGTTTGGTCTTATAAAGTGTTCTTATATGACGCTTTTTCATTTTAGAAGTTTTATAAAATCAATTATGTTGAGTGTCTTACCAATAAGAGGCTTACTAGGCAGGTCTAGTGACTGAAATGAAGTCGTAACAAAGTAGCCGTACTGGAAGGTGCTGTTGGATCACCTCCTTTTCAGGGAGAGCTAATGTTTGTTTGGTATTTTGAATCCTCATTGAATTTTATTTTTCCATTAGAAGGGATTCAAGAATCAGTTTTCAACCAATAAGTGTTTATGGCTCCTACCTACAAGTTACCAGTACGACTCTCCTTAGCATCACTAAAAATTCTTTTTGCTGTTATCTTCAGGATGCCATAAGATTAATGGAGGTTTCTGAAAATGTAACCACTAAAGTTATAGTTAGATTTTAATTATACATCTTCATATATGAATAAACTAACTCTTTAACTAAAAACATCAGGTATTGTTCGCAGAGCAAGTGAAACTAAGGGCAACAATGCACAAAAACCAGCCAGCAACAAACAACGATAATCTAGATCAAGATGACAACAATTGCTCATTTCCTAAAGAGGAAATCAAAATGTTGAAAGTAGAAGTGGAGAGAATAATGGTTGTAATTGAAGATCTCCAAAGGGACTACACAAATTTACACCAAAATTGTGAAAAGATGATTAAAAAGCAGAATGGTTGGATTTTAGGATGGAATAAGTTTAAAAAATCTACATTATTTCAAGGGAAGTTGGATTCAAATGAAAATAGAGAAGGAAAAGAGAAAGAAAAAAAAATTAACTCTATTCTCAGACTTAAAAGACGACAATCTATCTCATGAATTTTATTGTTCTCTTGATTCAGAGAAGCTCAAGTACTACTGTTTTAGTCATTATTGTAGCACTTCATTTTTTTGTGTTTTTTACTTGGTTATGTTTGTATGTTGTTACTTCTAACTTAATTTTATTATCTTTTTTCTGTTTTCTTTTTTTAGCTTCTTTTTAGTGCAACATCACCTTTTGCTAGTTCTTCTATTTCTTTGAGAAGGTTTTATTTATTTTGCACACTTGTTACAAGCTAGGGTTTTTATAAAAGCGGTCGCTCTAGTCTTTGAAGGGTAGAGGTCATGTCTGCATACATACCATCATCAAACCTACATTCGAATGGGATATACTAAAAAAGAGAGAGCAACAAGTTATCTTCACATCGTGACCTCATTCTAGCAAGGTCATTCTAGAACTTAGGTGTGAGGGTGCAAAAAGTCACTTGATCCAATAAAAACCGATCGGTCATAATTGGATTGAATCGAACCCAAAATTTCAATGTCTAAATTGGATTAGTCGATTCTTGGATGGTCATCAAGCATCCAATCAAATCTAATCAAATCAATCCAATCCAATTACCAGCGGGTTAGTATCCAACTACTATCCACTCAATAAACATATGCTACTTGCTTACCTACATAATACAGCTATGTAATTTTTTTTGTGAACCACAAAGGGATATAATCCAACAAGTTGACAAAAAAGAAGTTGGAAAATCAACATCTTAAAAAAATACTATTTCGAATAAAATGGTAGAAACAGGAGATAACAGCCAATAAATTACAGATTAAATAAAAAAAACAGATATTTATTTTTATTATCTTTTAAGGCAATTGAATTGCATGAAAATGCAATTTTGGTTTAATTCTTATTTTAGGAACGTACTTCTCGTACCTAAAAAAATAATACTTGGGTGATCTATTTAGGTATTAATAAGTTACTGACTTATTGTGCTAATGTGACAAATGATATTGCATGCAAATACATATTATTTGGTGACTTGTAATCTAATTTATAAATTTTGTTGTACAAGTACTAAAAAGCATTTGTATAAACAATTGAACCATATGTTAAAATTGAAGAAGATAAATGAAAAAAAGATGACGGGAAGCCATAAAACTCATATGTGCTTCAAGCCTTCAATTGTTTGTACAAGTGCCTTTAGTATATGTACCACGAATGATATATTTAAACTAGTGTTTGCTATCATATGTATGTAGTAGTAAGTAATAACAATGTTTTTTTTTTTTTTTTTTTACGGTGAATAGAGATATTATTATAAAATATAAGTAGACTAGTGTGATTCCAGATGTCAAGTCTAATTTAGCAATTCATATAAGAATCAAGAACAAGATTGAAGAAACAAGTCTGTCGGCTTGCTTCAATTCATAAACTGTATGAACATTATTCTTGATTACAATCTGTCAAAGTGATACGTATGAATGAATTCAACAACTGTTAACCAACCCAACTACCAATAACTACTGCTATTTATAGCAGCTTCCAAATCAGAAAAAGTCAACAACCTTTACAAACTATAAAAGAAAACAACACCTAACTATTACAAAGCATTTTAAAACTGTTGAATTTCCGGGGTTTGAATACAACATTTTTGCTTCAACAAAAATATATTAAAATATTATGATCATAATGTAATCGAAGTTATATAATCCGTTTTTATCTGATCATCTATAATGACTACAATTTCACCTACGCACAATAACACGTTACAACATGTACATGAAAGATATATATATATATATATATATATATATATATATATATTAAAAAAGAAAATATTACTAAGGAGTTAGATTAGAAAAGTTGAATATACAAATAATAAACAAATAATTTAAAACTAAAAACATGACATGATCATTGTGTCGTCATGATTAATACGTGATTCAATTAAGTTCCGATAAATGAACATGAATCAATTTACCGGTATTTTCACAATACCTTGTTAGTATAAAACATTCGGTTATTGGTTTTCCTTTCAACGATTTTAAAGTTTTTTGAAGTATGTAATATTTATATAAGGCAAATGCAACAAATAAACTCACACACCTTTCTTATCTATGGTAAGGTTTGAACCCCTGACCTCCTAGAAAGCCAAGGGCTACGATACAGCTAGACCAAAGATTCTTTGGTCGATTTTAAAGTTTTTAAGACAATACAAATCACCTTCATTCGCTGAATGATATGATGAAACCTTGAGTCATCATTACATGTGTTGAGTTTTCCAGTGAATAAAACATAAAATAAAAAAAGAAGTTCGACAAATGAGAAAAAATTTGTAACGCGATGAAGAATTTTGTTATACCTTCTTAACAATTAAAATTGTGACGTAGACAAAAAAAAATTGGTTAATATTTATATAGAGAACAATTGCATTAAAGATGCAAATTTAACAAAATTAAATTAGCAATTAATCATAACGTTCATTGAATTAATTATTTTCTCCTAAGTTTTTCGTTTACACATACATACATACATACATACATACATACATACATACATACATACATACATATAGATATATATATAGGAACGATCAAATGAAAATCACCCTTATTTGTACAAACCGTACAAACCACCCTCATACGTCGATTTCATTGTTTAATCTTATAAAAAAATTTCTTGAAATTGTTTAATCTTGTGAAATTGTTTCATATAATACTTTTTTTGATGAATTTGTTTCATATATGATTATGAAATTGTTTCATATAATATTTAATGAAATATTAATGAAACTGTTTCATGTATTTATCTAAAATTAAAATAATGAAGATGATAATATTCATAATTAACACCCTCCACAACCTCTCATAATTACAAAAAAATGAACAAAATAAAAAATTATGATTAGTTGAATGAGGTTTGCACGGTTTGTACAAATTGAGTGGTTTTTATTTGAACACTTCTCTCTCTCTCTCTCTCTCTCTATATATATATATATATATATATATCTATATCTATACTACTTTATAAAGCAAATTTGTCCAAAGTCTTAAAAACACCTTAACATGCATAAGGTACTACCCTTTAATGCAGAAAGTCTTAAAAATGTATAACTTCTTTATGCATTTAGTACTACCCATAAGCACACATGTCCGGCTGGCCCTCTTTCCAACGCACCTCTGCCCAATGACCGGCTCTCTCTATTGCACTCTCTCCACGCTCCACGATTACAGAGATGACGATTCATTCCCCAAGGCAACGATTCAGCGACTTAGAGTGTTTATAAATGATCAAGCACGATTCACGCTCTTGTCATGCGATTCTCAAATCAAGCACGATTTAGGCGATTCTGTGGAAGTGAGTTGGTTTATTGCGTTAAGTTAGGGTTTATTTTGTTACTTGATTTTGAGTTAGGTTAGGGTTTATTGGGTCATCTGATTGAGTTAAGTTAGGGTTTTTTTTGTTACTTGATTTAGTTTATGTGGAAGTTTTCAAGCGATTAAGGTGATTCTGTAGAGGTTTTCAAGCGATTCTTTGGAGGTTCTCAAAGATGAGTTAAGCTAGGGTACTTATTTTTCTTTAAATTCGTCATTTTATATGCTATCAAAGAAGTGCTTGGCTATGTATAAGATGTAATATCATCACATCTCCCACAAAACCATAATTTAAAAGTGCTCCAGGGGAGCACCGGTAACATACTCCAAGATGAATTGAGTTATTGAAGTCTTTAGATAGCACAGGGGAAGTTGTGTGTGCAAATATAGGATTGATATGGTATGGTATACCCTTCAAGCCTTCTTAGTTCTTACTTAATCTTTCTATTTATGAATAACAAAAGCAGCAGAAATCCTTCTTAGTTTTTAGGAATTTCCGGAACTACCTCAACTGGATTGATTAAAAACCAATAGATGTCCACACTACCAAAATCAGTATCATTAATAAGCAGGATTAAGAAAGTTGAATAATAGGTCAAATAATAAGCAGCTTTATTTTTTTCTTAGATCAAGTTTTCAATTGTGGATTGACCTTGATGATGGTTGAAGCCATGTATGTTATTGTTTGTGTAGGCAACAACTTTTGGTGGTTCTAACATTGATCCAACTGCTTGGGAGGACAAGAAGTGTAAAGGTGAATTTACGGTCCCTGCTCAGGTAAAACATGAATTATCTGACTGACTGCTTAGTTATTAGGGTGTTACTCAATTTTTCATTTTTTTTGGGTTTTCCTAAACCCTTCTGTTAGGATTGAAAATCAGTATTAAATTGTATTCGTCTTGAAAGTTAAATATTGTCTATAATTGTAAAAGTCATCGTGTTTGACTTTTCTGTAAAGTTTGACTTTGACTAGGTCTTTAATGTTTGACCTTATATAAAGGATAAAGTCTTGTAATTGTAGGAGAGGAGCTCATTTGTAAAAATCTGATTACGTATAGAAGGTTTGACCAAGTTTTGAAGTTTGACTTTTCCTCTCAAACTCTCTCATCTCTCCTCTAAGTTCTTAACTGTAAATCCAGATTTGTCATGGTTATGAAGCTCATATGAAGATTGATCATTGTTAGGGGACTAACAATTGGTATCAAAGCAGGATTGCACGAAATCAGAGAAGACATCATCAGTTTTGAATTTTTTTTTGATTGAAATTTTTCTGAGTTCATCTTGTTCTTTAAGTTTGATCCGAAATTTTTGGAAAATTATGTGTTTCTCGTGTTAAAACCGTGATCAAAATGCTCGGAATTGAATTGTGAATCTTTGGTATTCACAAACTTTTGTGATTTGATCATTACACATCAAGATTTAATCGATTTAGTGTTTTTAATTTTTTTTGTGTTCTTGAGTTTTTTTTAAAATCAGTGTTTTGATCCAATTTTTTTTATTTTTTTTTGTGTTTTTGGGCCTAATTCTATTAAGGTCCAACCAGCCCATTCTAGAGAAGTTGTTTTGAGCGTATTCGGGCAATAAGGAATTTAGTTTTGAACGTATTCGGTCAACAAGCAAGCGAACTTCTTCTAGGTTGTGAGCGATTTACACTTAAGCATGATCGAATAATGTGTAAATCA